ATTAGAGGCACAGTGAAAATATTAAACACACTTATATCTTCAGGGCCTTACCCCAAACAAAGACAGAACTATAGTTCTAAGAAGAGAGCCAGTGTCAATACTTCGCCCTCATTTTTCTGCGAGAGAAGAGGAAAATAGTTAAGATATACATATATAAAGTTGCATATGGAGGTCACATGTATAGTTACAAAATTAACATTTTAACCCCATATTATAAATAACAATATGCTGATCATCATGATTGAAATAACAACAAATTTCTGATCAATTTCCATGCAAGAAACATATCATCACAGTAGGCAAAGATACAACCAAATATCAATTAGAAAGAGAAATTTTATGTTTGGAACATAAAAATAAACTGATCATCTGGTACACCCTTTCTAAACAAATAAATTTTTTGTTCTTGAAGTATCTGTAAGAGTGATGACAACCCATGTACTAGATTTAATTGAAAGACAGAACAATTTACATTCAAAAGGGAATGGGAATCAATACTACCTTTTTGTCCAATTTTTTTAAATTTTTTATACATGAATTAGCAATAGAATCTTAAAGCAAATTTAATTTTATCCCAAGTTAGACCAGATATCTTTGCCTATATTCTACTAGGCCAACAATAGGCATTTAAAGCAAGAGGAAAGAACATGGGAACATTATTTAAAGTAAATGCGCATGCTGTCTATGTACATGCAATAGTCATATTTTAGTTTTCTTTGTCTGAGGACCCCACGTGCGTGGCTTTCAAAAATATGTTCACAAGTTAGAGTACTGCAAGAAATATTAAGGAAAAAAATTCAAGAAAAATCTAACTAGGAATAATAAAATGAGACGCTGAAGAGATAAAGACATGGAGAATTAGAAACTACCTGTCAACATAGAGTACGGCATTCCGTTTTAGAAAAGATCAACTGACGTAAAAAGTCCAACGGTCAATGACAATTATTATAGGTAGAAAATACCTCTTAAAAGCTTTATTTTGTACAAGTGATTAGACTAGAAATGTGATTTTATTTTAAATTAGTTTCAAACAATTCTAAAATTACACTATAAGATCAAGAAATTAAATTGAAATCATGTTTTGTAAAGAAGTGATCAAAATACTTTTCAATTATTTTTAGTAATTTGACTTATTATTTTAATAATATTACTTACTTGTAAATTCAATAAAGAAATTTATTCACAACACATGTTGTATATTCAATATTATTTTGTTTCAACATGAAAGATATTTGTTAAAATCATAGTTTGACTTATTATTTTGATAATGTTATTTATTAATTCGAACTTGTTACTGTAAATATTTTGCATGTGTAATATCATTTTTTTAATATAAAGCGTGCTTGCTAAAATTATAACTTGATTTGTTATTTTTTTAATGTTATTTGTTAATTAGAAATTCAATAAAGGAGCCTGTTACATTGCAATTGATAAATTATTCAATCCTTGTAGAATAAGAATCATTTTATGTCTCACCCTATCTGTCTCTGTTTTTTTTTTTTTTTAATAATCATGAGGGTTTGAAATAACCTGAGGTGGCTTCACGATGTTTACTTTTTTTCATGTGAGATTATTAATATTTTAAATTTTTTTTCTACTGATGATATAAAGCATCGTTACAAGAGTTTTTTTCATTATTTATATATTTGATGAATAAAATGCATTATATTGTGTGTGTGTGTGTGTGTGTTTTGATAAAATATAAGTGTACTGATATTCAAACAAATAATTTGATACAGCTAGTTGATATCCAATACTTCTTCATGAGATTCAAACATTACATGGCTCAATTACAAGTATTTCACCCGAAGGCCTTTGCCATGAAAATTTAAAGGAGGACAGACTGGAAACTGTCATGATTTAACGCAAAAACTTACGTAAGAATATCCGTACATTCTGTTAATTAATGAAGTTTGATCCGTGCGTGTCTAAATATTTTAGAAGTATATGCTATCATCAGTGATTAAAATCAAAGCACAAGCTTTTTAGAATTCGAATATTTTGACATGAGATATTCACTTAAAAAACAAAATGACAATACCAAAAAAGCTTTTATCATGACAATTATGGAAGTAAATTCGTGCTAATATTTCCTATTAAGTTGACTTAAAAAATACTAGCAACATATTTATAGGACGATTTTAAATAATTAAGTGTACTAACATTCAAACAAATAATTTAAAGATATTCTTTCACCAAAAAATAATTAAATATATTCAACTAAAAAACAATAAACTTTGGAACACAATAAAAAAAACATGTTGAAAGGGAAGTAAAAAATGTTATTTAATAGATATTTATGTAAAGAAAGGATATTTTAGTAACAATGTTAAATCTAATAAGTTAACAGTGGATTAATGACGCATGGATGCAAATAAAATCATGAAAATAAAATGAAGGTCTAGATAACACAATCTTTAATTTTAGAGAGATCTTGTGTAAATTTTGAAAATAAAAAAAAGGTTTTCATAATTATGAATAAATACATTGAGATTGGAAAATTTGGCGTGAGTGAGTGAGATATATCACATAGTGCCTTTTTTTTTTTTCTTGGGTATAATAATACTCAAGGCAGTAAATGAATGATCTTAGCTTGCAAGAGTACGTTATATATTAATAATTAATATAAGTATTAACCATATACTCCATCTATTTAAAAATATAAGACATTTTTAATTGAATTTTATCCCTAATAAAATAATTACAAACTTTCAAACTAACTCTATTTTTTTATATTTATTCTTATTAAATACCATGCAATAAATATAAAGTCATTATTAATAAGAATACTTTAAGAAAAAATAATTATCATATCTCAAAAAGATTAAAGATACATAATATTTTTAAACATTTAATTTTTTAAAGAATAGCTTATATTTGGAGGGAGTAGTTTATTTGTTGGATAAAATTTTCAAAACTTGCAAGCTGTGGGGTTCGAACCCACGCGCACTTGTGTGCAAAAGGTCTCACGTTTTCCCCCTTAACCTCTCGGGCAAACTTGCTCGAAAGTAAGCTTTTGCTATACTGATAAATTTCCTAACCTTCATAATTTAACATTTTAGTTTATTTTGCATTTTTTAAGTTTACTATTTTCATATTTACTTTTATTTACACCTACAATAGATTATTTGAGAGAGGAGGGAGATATTAAAATAAAAGCAATAAATTATATATGCATTATATTATAAAAATAAATTAATTAAAATAATATTATATAAGATTTTATTTAAATGATTTGAGCATTCAAATTGGACAGATAAAAAATAACATGATGTATTTGATTCATTTAAGAATTTCTCGAGCAGAATAAACAATAAAAGAGTTGTTTTCAAGGGTTAAGAGGAGAAATAGTAACATTTTTAAATATAAATACTAAAAGAACAAATACAATGCAAGTTGAAAGACATGCTACTTAATAGCCAGTCATACTTCCATGAGAGAGATTACATAATGAAAAAAATAAAATACTGATTAAACCTGTTAATCACGTGATTTAAATAAAAAAAATAAGATTTAAATAAGTAGTGTACCATAATTAAAAATAAAAAAACCCTTAACTAACCAACATGACTTAGGTTAGTTTTTCTTTCCAAAAAAATAATAATAACAGGTTAATGAGTATTTTAAACCCTGAAGTATTGCACAAAAAATGCTTTAGAATTTAAACTCTTAAAATATATAAAATGAACTTTAAACTTTTAAATTTATAAAAATTATCCCTCTATTATCTTTTTGTTAATGCCATTATTATTCACTATACAATTCACCATGGGGCCAACCAAATAATGACGGGACAATCCTTTGCAGATGTGTCATTTGTTTATCAGCGTCATAAACCTTAAACTATTGAGCGAGTAGGGTTTTGGATCCTGAATTTTAAAATTTTAAGCAAATTACTTTTACCGTTTATGTATAAAATATTGACTATTATGTGGATCAAATTAGTTTCAGCATGGTTCACTGCAGTGAACTCATTGTTGACTAAGGTGAGTAATTCATAATTTTATAAAATGACATTTTTTACCCCCTTTTTTCGTAAAGTTTTTCAAATGATTGATATTCCATGCTTTCATATACTTTATAACTCTGATGTAATGTTATTTTAAATAATATTTATTTATTTAATGGTGAAAACTTGAGATTCTATCTGAAAAGAAGTTTAAGTATGAAAGGATTTTAATTAACAGGCTAATTAAGGTTTCAAATTAATTGATGAAATTATCGACTTTTGCATTTATTATTTGTAAAATCATCTAATACGTAACAATGAATATAAAAACCGATAATTTCATCAACGAATTTGAAACCTAAATTAGCCTATTAATTAAAATTCTTTGATACTTAAATTTTTTTTAAATGAGATCCCAAGTTTTCACTATTAAATAAATAAATATTATTTAAAATAAAATTAAATTAGAATTACATAGCATATGAAAGCATAAGATACCAATCATTTAAAAAATATTGCAAAAAAAGGGCAAAAAAGTCACTTAACAAAATTATGGGTAGTCTACTGTGGCCAACGATGTGTTCACCATAGCAGATTATGATGAGATTAATTTAATTTATATAATAATTAATTTTTTATATATAAACAGTGAGAATAATTTGTTTAAAATTTTTAAGTTTAAGATTTAAGACGCTACTCACTTCATAATAATTTACAGTGACATTAATTAATAAATGATATATCAATAGAAGATTGTCATGTCAACACTTGACCTCGTGATGAGTAGCACGGTGAACAGTAATGTTATTAATAAAAAGATAATAATGGAGAGTAATTTACAGTGAATTTAAAAATTAAAATTTGCTTTATATATTCTAAAATTTTAAGATTTATGATACTTTTCGTGTAGCATTGAAAGGTGTAAAATGCTCGTTAATCCAAAAAAGAATTTAAACTTTTCGAGAGCTCCTCCGATTAGATTAGATTAGATTAGATTAGAGTGTTACAAAATGTGTTTGATAATTAGGATGGCGACTGCCTCGCACTCGCAATCCCTAAACGTCACAGCGCTTCACCCCTCACGACACGAGTTCGCCCGCCGCTCGCCTAACCGTCGGCCTCCGACGTCCATGCCCGTCCAGCCATCTACCCACAGACTTCCGCACTCCAAAATCCCAATTTCAGGTGGCCTGAACTCGAAGTCGAAGTCGATTATACCGACCTCTACCTCGCCGGCACTTGTTCAAAGCTTCACCAGTTCTGTCTTCCTTCAATTTGTGAGTCACAGATTCTGGGGCTTGAAGACAAAGTTATACTGGGTTGGTTTCTCAATCTTATAGGTTGGTCCTTCAAGTTTCTCTGTTCCCTATCTTTCCGTTGATCTCTGATTTTTCCCTGTTCAAAATAGTCAAGTTTCTCCGTTTTCTTCCTATTTCTCATCTTTCTCCATCTTTGCAAAGTCTCTGATTTTCTTCTAATTTTTGGTTCGGGGATATAAAAACAGAGGAGCATCTGCAACAAGTTCTTTGCTTTAGCGCTTACCCACACCCACCCACCCACCCACATCTCTTTCTCAAACCATGTAGAAAAATGTAAGATATTGATTAGAAAGGAAATATCTCCATTAACGTAGCGTCTCCCTTATCTGACGGAAAATCTGCACTTTGACTTTCTATTATTGCTTGTTAGTGCTGGATATTTCATCTCCTTTTCGCTTGGCAATTCTAGGAAACGTAATTGTCTTCTTTCTCTTCATGAATATCTCATTGCCTTCATTCTTTGATATTCGTTTGATTGTTGTTCGTTGGGAATAAGGAACCTTATTTTTCTGCTTTAGACATATCATTGCTTGCTGCAATATATGGCTTTATTTTCTTGGAATACCCGAGTGTTAGAACTGTTCGTGAATGTAAACATCTGGGCCAGTTTGAGTTTGATTTGAGCGTAAATTCTTTCTCTCCTGGAATATCTTTTGGAGGTTTAACTGGTTATTTGGGAATGTTTAGAAGTGTTTGATAGAATGCCTGATACATTTTCTTTTCCTCTTCTTTCCTTCTAGGTTAAAATGAAGCAAGTATTTGTCATTTTGATATGGTAAGATGCTCAATAGGCAAGTGTTTTGACATTACCCGATACAACTGTCAAGAATTAAAAACATTTTGCAATCTAATTATAGCTGGGTTGCGTGTGATGTCTATGCCTTGGAGCTGAAATAAGCCTTTCTGATTGTACATATGTGCCACACGGCCATACTACCTCTTCCCACCCGCCTAAGAAAAGTTGTTACTTGTAGGTGATTTGTCATGAAAGAGCCTCTTTGTTGTGATTCTTGTGTACTGGGAGAGAGGTGCCAAACTGTTGTATAGAAAGTCTCAATTTTTCAAATGGGTGCTCCTCTTGCACATGAAGAGACCAACAATCTCCTCTTCACTCCATTATCTAAAAATTAGTGACTGTCGTCTGCTTTTGGGTTTTGATCCAACATATTCTGGATGTCGAAGATATCTGAGTGGGAGAGCCTCTCTTGTAGGTTCAACCAATACCAGACCTTTTCCTGATTATTCCCCAAAGAAGTCTGCTATTAAAGATTCTGAATTTGTGCGTCAAATCTCCAAAACGATAAAGCTTCGCCGTTCTGAGCCTCTTCGCCACATTCTGAAACCTTATGAATCCAAATTCAGGCCTGATCATCTGATTTGGGTTCTTATGGACATAAAGAATGACTATGAACTGGTTTTAGATTTCTTTAACTGGGCACGTCTGCGCAGAGACCCAACACTGGAGGCCCTTTGTATAGTAGTTCATATTGCTGTGGCATCAAAGGACTTAAAAATGGCACACAGCCTGGTTCATGATTTCTGGGCAAAGCCCAATCTGGATGTTGACCATTCTTTTGCAAATTTTACTGAGCGGTTAATATATACATACAAGGACTGGGGTTCTGACCCTCATGTATTTGATATATTTTTCCAAGTCTTAGTTGAAGGTGGGATGCTTTTAGAAGCCAGACAACTTTTTGATAAATTGTTAAATTATGGTCTTCTGGTCTCTGTAGATTCTTGTAATTTGTTTCTAGCTAGGCTGTCAAACAATTTTGATGGAATAAGGATGGCATTAAAGGTATTTAACGACTATCCAGGAGTAGGTGTTCCTTGGAACACCACATCATATAATGTCATTCTTCATTGTCTGTGTCAGTTGGGTATGATCAAAGAAGCACACCTTTTACTCATACAAATGGAATTTAAGGGCCATATGCCTGATATTGTAAGTTATAGCACTATAATTAGTGGATATTGTCAATTGGACAGCTAGAGAAGGTTGTAAAGCTTGTAGAAGAGTTGCAGAGAAAGGGAATCAAACCAAATGAATACACTTACAATGATGTAATTCTTCTTCTTCGTAAGACTGGTAAAGTAGTTGAACCTGATAAAATCTTGTGGGAAATGAGAAACCAGGGGATATATCCTGATCATGTGATCTACACAACCATCATAAGTGGTTTCTGCAAGTCTGGGAATATTTCAGCTGCATACAAGTTCTTTAATGAAATGCAAGGTAAGAAAATAATACCTGATTTTGTGACATATACTGCTATGATTCATGGATTTTGTCAAAATGGGAAAATGGCGGAAGCTCAAGATTTTTTCAGTCAAATGCTTAGTAAAGGGTTGGAAGTAGATGAGGTTACTTATACAGAACTCATTGATGGATATTGCAAGGCAGGGGAAATAAAAGAAGCCTTTTCTTTACACAACCAGATGGTTCAGAAAGGGTTGACTCCAAATATTTTCACTTATACTGCACTGGTTGATGGACTTTGTAAACGTGGAGAGGTAGATGTAGCAAATGAACTTCTTCATGAGATATCTGCAAAGGGCCTACAACCAAATGTTTGCACTTACAATGCTTTCATCAATGGCCTTTGTAAGATAGGAAATATAGAACAAGCGTTAAAATTGATGGAAGAAATGGAACTTGCTGAAATTTATCCCGATACTGTTACATACACGACTCTTATGGATGCTTACTGTAAGATTGGGGAAATGGCCAAGGCTCACAAGCTGCTTCGCAAGATGCTCGATAAAGGACTTCAGCCTACAGTTGTTACATTCAATGTGCTAATGAATGGGTTTTGCCTGTCAGGAATGCTGGAAGATGGTGAAAGACTAATTCAATGGATGTTAGATAAGGGTATAACACCAAATGCTACCACATTCAATTCTCTTATGAAGCAGTACTGCATTAGAAATGACATGCGCGCTGCCACGAATGTTTTCAGGAGTATGCATGCCGAGGGAGTGGCAGCCGATGGTAACACATATAATATCTTGGTAAGAGGGCATTGTAAAGCTAGGAATATGAAAGAGGCATGGTTTTTGCATAGAGGAATGATTGAAAAGGGATTTGATCTCACAGCCTCTTCCTATAATGCCATTATAAAAGGGTTCTTCAAGAGGAAGAAATTTGTGGAGGCGAGGCAATTTTTTGATGAGATGAGAGCAAAAGGATTGGTAGCAGAGAAAGAGATATATGATATATTTTTGATGTAAATTATGAAGAAGGGAATTTAGAAATTACCCTTGAGCTTTGTGATGAAGCAATGGAAAACTGTCTTGTTGGTAAGCTCCAGCAAGAGCGCACATAGGTGAATTTTGTCTTCGGTTCTCTTGCTTGGTGGCTGATCTGAAATTAATTTGAACCTCAGAACATCTATGATTCAAATCACAAGAGAAGCATGTTTGACTCTCATTTTTATCGGAGAAACAGGTAGATTTCTCACAAGCATATTGATAAATACAGGGAAAAAGTCTGTGTTGGACTGGACACTTTCCTGGGACAGAGAATGACCTCCGTGAAAGAAACAATTACAATTAATAAAACATCAAATTGAAGTTTCTCTTTAAGCTTTTGATTTTTCTGATGGGGTAGTTTCGCCATCATTTGAAGCCTGTTGAAGGTGATGTAATATGAGAGAGAATTCATGAATGATATAGGTTTTTTTTTTTTTTTTATTTGTCCTTTGCTGTACTCTTATCAGTTGATGTAAATAACTCCTGATTCCCGATTGGCTGTCGAAATTTTACTGAGGAGAATATAAATGAAGGTCCAAACTTGAAAGCCCATTCTGGGTTCGAACATACATCCCATTGCGGCACAGGGGCCGCTGGCTCTCATTCCCCCCCCCCCCCCCCCCGCCCCCCCAAAAAGAAAAAAAAGAAAAAGAAAATCTTTCTCCAAATGCATTATTAGGCTATTGCAATTATTTTTATTTCTTTGAAAATTATTTACAATATTTTAATACGCCTTAAATATGAGAAAAGTGACTATAATAAAACTTTCTCCCCTGAATGACGAGGAAATGGTAATACCAAATAGCGAAACATGACGAACAAATATATAGCAATAGTAAAAACAACAGAGTCCATAGCCTTGTAACTGGGGAAGACAATATAAGCCCTAACAACCAACGTCTAAAAGTCTCTTGCTTTACCTGGCAAACTCATGAATTAGATCACTTTAAATATATAAGTAGACAGATATAAGCATATCCTTACCTTACTCATGCTTATAATATATCAACTTATAAGCTACTTGGATTTATTGATTTTTGTTGACATCCTAATAACACTAATAAATTTAAGAATCTATCATTTGCAGCCGTGAGATCTAAACCCAATCCTTTCACACATCAACATCGTACACTACCTCCAGTGTTTTCTGCTGTGTATTGCCAATAATAACCACATCATCACCTTCATCGCCATCAACTTTATTCGCAGCAAACCCTAAACACGCCTGTTCTTTGCTCACAACATACAGAATCCCCGATGCGTCCAACGTCACGTTCACCCCCACCTCCAAACGTCAATGAAACCTTCGGCAAGTGAACAACTTCGTACCCACGCAGATTGTAGCACGTGTCCAGTACTTCAACCGGATCCGCCTTCGGGTACCTCCACATCTGTCTCTGAAACTCGTCTCTCAGGGACTGTACGCCGCCGGAGGGAGCCAGGTGACTTCACTACCAGAGTCAATAACCGTGCCGGAGGAGGCAGAGATCGGGATATTGACGCCACCGAGAGATATTCCGACGAAGTCAAGGCCGTAGAAGGAGGAGTTCTTGAAGATGGAGGAGAACGGAGTGTATTTGACGTCGCCGTAGGAGTACCTATGACTGGGGCCAAAGTTGAGGTAGCCGACGGCACTTGGAGTCGACGGAAGACAATAGGAAAAGATTCTGTGGTACTTATGCGCGGTTTGTTGGACGAAGGAGAGCGGATCGCGACCGAGACCGAGCAACCCAGCGGTGCCGCCGAAGAGACCTGTGTTGTTCTGGCCGCAGCCAAAAAGGAAGTCGTCGAAGACATCGGTCGGAGATATGGTTAGTTTTTCCTTAGCGAAGAAGCCAATGGAGGTGGATTCGTCAGCATAGATAAGACCGTACATGCAAGCCCTTGTTGTTGTATTGCATAATGGAAAAAATCCTGGAGATCATATGCATATATAAGAGAATGTATTCAATGAATAAAAGAAAGGAAGCTATGTTCATAAACTTAGCTTGAAAGATAATGTGAGAGTGTGTGTGTGTACCAGTGGCAGAGAGAAGCTGGGAGCACTGAGAAGATGAGCAAGAGACATCGGAGTAAGAAGAAGAGTGAGAAGGGTCAAAGACTGGTTGTTTCTGGGAATAGCAAGAACCAAGACAGGGCTCACACTGAGTCCAAGTTAGGTCACTGCCTGTGTCGAAGTCCAGAGACAGATCTCTCTTGGGGCTTCCCAGCCCCACCGTGACAAAGTAGTTCCCGGTCCCGAGAAGGACGCCGGACTGGGCCGGAAGCTGAACCCGGTCCAACCTGCGATTTGAACTAACATCTACTTTTGCTACTTCATTATAGTTGTGTCTCCTGTAAAGCTTAGAGTGGATTGACCTAGCCCTCGCTTGGTCTCGCATCAGGGATTTCTCTGTGCGGTATAATAAATGAAGATGATGATGTTTGTTGCTTCGGTTCTGAACATGGGCCGTGCTTGTGTACTACTTCCAAATATCCCTTCCTGCTTGCACCTGTTCATCGTGTTATACACATACACATATCACTTGAATGTACTCATGTAGTAGTCACGTGGATTATTCTATCAGCTCAATGTCAGTCCAGTTCAAATAGTAGGAAAAAAATACGCTACAAAGAAGAGATTCTATACAAGGAAAACAAATTTGAGACTACTCCTTCATTAGTTGGCTTTGGACAGCACCGACGTGAGAGTTACGATATGTAAATGACATTTTCTGTGCTAGCATATATAGAAGTTGTATTTGGATCGATCTAATTAGTTTTTGGAATCTAACTGTCAATCTAGTTAATTAGAACTCTAACCATGCATTGACATTCTACTTTGTTATAATCATTTGATTAAATATTAACTATCTTAATTGAACAAAAAGTAATGTTATTTATGGTTCAAAGAGAGTTGGTGCTGAGCGTCACAATGCTGTAGAACAATTTTTTTAATAACAGAGAGTGAGAGATGAAAGAGAAAGAACCTTTAGGAGGAGAGGTGCAAGATGAAGAAGGGAAGAAAGAGGTGAGATGAAACATGATGTTGAGTTTGTTGAAGAAGCTCACTGGCTTCTTTCCTCGTTATTGCAGAAACAAAGGGTTCGTTCTCTATCAAGAAGAAGAAGAAGCAAACAACAGAAATAAAAGCAAACAGGAAGGGATTAGAAGAAGAAGAAGCCATAGAAACAAGAAGGATAGTTTCTCTTTCTGTATGCTTCAAGCTGAGAAAGGGATATCGTTGGCCTTTATAGGCTAAATTTCATGACTGGTCATGATATTAACAGGATATTCTAATTAAACAACTATTAACAACCCATTATTTATATATAACAGACAAACTAATTCACTCCATTTAGCTGGCCTGTTGGTTACGTTGTACTTGGCTTCACTAATTACACAGTTTTGGTGCTATATTACCAAGTCTTCCAATAGAAAACAGCCAAACAGGCCAGCAAAAGGTCAAATGAAACAATCCTTTTCTGAAACGTTACAATCTAAGATCTGCGAACTCCCCTATGATTTCTTCTATCTGATGCATTTGATAAATATGTCTTATTTGCGATCAACGGCCTTCAAGTTTCTTTTTCTTTTTTTCTTTTTTTTTGTGGAAAAAAAAGAACTTCAAGATTATTGTTGATCGCCTGCAGGTCTTTCCTTGGTTTGGGATTAGATTAAATTTATTTGTCACTTCATTTTACCCAAAAACATTGAAGTACATGTGTGAACATGTTAAATCTAATGATGAAGCCATGAAAAATTTAGAAAATATATAACTTGATAAGGATGAGAAGAGTCAAGTATAATGAAAGAAATATATGTTCGATATTGATTATATTTTTGCAATTATTAGAATTAGAAATAAAAATGTAAAAATCAATTTAGCGTTAAAGTTATTTGTAATTTTAGAGTTAGATATGAAATCGTTCGTTCGATTTCAGTCTTGAACGTATATGGAATATTCAAATGGATGAAAAATTCATCACCTCCTGCATCACCCTGAAGAACCTCCAGAATTTTGACATTAAAACGCAACTCAACTTAATTGCAGTTTAAAATTTAAAAGGCTTGGAAAGCTATGGACTTTTCGGTTTTTTCTCAAGAAGAGTGTGTGTGTCTAATTAATCGATGTAAATCTGGTGTATGCATCTAAAAAATGGAAAAAGACAAAAAAACTTGCTGTAAAACTTTGATGGATGGATTTAGAATAGTGAAAAAAAAAATAATGAGCGATCCAGTGATTTTGACTTAATTATGAGAGGATGTTGGGGAAAAAAAAATACACCAAAACAAACGTTGTAACAGACGTTATTAGAAATCCTTGGTGGGTGACTAACAGTGAGACATCAGTCCACTTTGGACCATGATACCTATCACTGGATGAAATTTGGACTGTTTAAATTCAATTGGGACAATCTAAATATAAAATTTTTTAACTTACAAATTTTAAAATAATAAATTCATCTTTAATAAAATGACAGTTAAGAAATTATCTTAGCT